CTCGCTACCGGGCGTTCTTCTGATCCCTCTGCTACCTTGGATGCGCGCTCTCCACGGGGCGTTCTTCCGATATTCCTCCACCTTCAAATGCGCGCTCTTTTTTACGGGGCGTTCTTCGTCGGAACCGTTCCACCAGCCCGGCATTAAGCACCCGGATCCTGTCTTAATTACGTACACCTTCTTCTCTTTTCTGTTTCCTTACACCTCGTATTTCTTTTTCTTTTTTTTTGTTTCTCTTTCGCCGTCGTCTCCGTTCCCCGAGTCAGACACCACAAAAGAAAAGGGGGAATCATCCAGGCAAATCACGACAATTTTTCCACTTACCATTGCTACCGGCAATTTAACAGGGTCCCCTCGCTGTTAGGGAAACCTCGAATGGGCACCTGGCACACGGGGAAGTAAGAGGGACAAATAATGCTGTTGCAGATACGTATCTTGGTTGTTCGGAACAAGCTTTGAGCCAGTAAGGCATGCAAACGATCAACTACTCGGGCCACGACAGCCCTGACATATTGTGTCAATTATTACGTTCTTTTCCTGTTTTTTTTATAAGATCCGTTATATCGGACAGGGACGACCTTGCTCCCTGGTAGTATTTTGTTCTCTTTTTCCTCTCTTTCTTTCTTTTTCTTAGTTCGTTATTAATTCTGTCAACAAAATCATTCAGGCATCTTTGTTTTCGCGGTAGTTATAAAATAATTAAGGTGGATACAGTGTTGCAATGGAGTACAATGATGATAGCAACGCAATGAGTCCCAGTGATTAAAGGCACGCTACTGAGTACTCCCATAAAAAGCAATGCTTTCCACCCAAAAGTGAAGCAAACGGGAGAAGGAATAATTGCGCAGCTCCCATAAGTCCGTGTGTGCCAGGGCAGGACACCATTTATCTCCCCTCCCCGCTAATTAACTCACACCTTCCCACTTGTGCACGTATTCAAATCTAAACACGAGTGCCTTCCGCAGGAAGCTCGATTATGGGCCGGTCCCGCCGCTCAGGGCGGCAGCGCCAGTTGCGCCGCCTCGTTAAGGCGCATCATCAGGTGCGGGTATTTGACCCGCGTGTCTTCGAAGTTTATGCCCGCAGGCCCCCTGTGCCCGGACCCCTGGTGACACATCACCCGCCACCTCCTCCCCCTCATTCTCAACCTCCACCCCTCATTCTCAGCCTCCTCTCCTCAAACCCCCAAAACCTCTTGTGCGCCCACCCCCGTTAAACTCCGGCGAGTGCTGTCCTCGACGGATGTGGAGGCCGCGGCCTCCAATCACCCCTCCACCGCGAGCACCTCTAGCCTCGATCCCGGGCCCAGCACCGTCGCCCGTCTCGGAGGAACCGGCGATCGCCCGGGCACCCACTGCTCGCCCTCCTGGTCTGGGTGGTCTCCGTTGAACCACTCCAGCGGAGAATCAGAATTATCCTCCTTCGCGTCGACGCTCAGAGTATACCGCGGAACATGCCCCTATTGTAGGTCCCCTCACATACACATTTACACATCATGTACAAATAAAATAAATAAATTCATTATGCAACCCACACGCACACACACTCATTCACATACCCACACGCACACACGCTGAATCTCAAATTTCCTCTCCTTCTTCTCTTTCCTCTTCTTGTCAGGAGATCTTTGATTCCCCACTCCAAAATAAAACGCGGGACGTAACAATGTATTTAAAAAAATATAAAAGAGGAAGGATGTAGTATATGCGTACAGAGCCATCTCACGATTAACGCGAATGTATATAAATATCCGATCAACCTACGGAAATACAGTCGCTCCTGAACCGCACACGAGATTAGTCATTCTAGAATAACCCCTCCTTCATGTATACGGCAGTTGGCATCAAATCGACAGCGATACTGGCCATTAAATTCAAGGAATTTGGTGTGACGAGTCTGTCATTCATGTGTCCATTGCGCTAGAAATAATCCAAGAGGTCTCACTCAAACCATGGGATCACTAGCCAGCGACCGAGTCAAGCCTTCTAGAGCCTTTTCGATCACTAGCGTGGACTTTGCAGGCCCGTTGATCACACTCGTCAATAAGGGTCGTAGTCGGAAAACCTGTAAATCTTACATAGTGTTGCGTCTCCGGGCTGCCGAGACGCATGCCGCCGCCGCACGTTACACCGCTATCACAAGTCGCGCACTCACGCGCGCTCGCGGAAATAATAAAAGGCCGTTTGTGTGTAAAGAATGCCGTTTAATAACTTCCCTAACAGCACGATATATTGCAGCAACATTGCAGCAATATTGCTGCAATGTTGCAGCAATCTATCTATGTCATACCCTGCGCAATGTTGCTGTAATATTGCAGCAATGTTGTGGCAATATTGTAGCGCAATATTGCTGTAATGTTGTAGCAATATTGTGGCACTATATTGGGTAAATATTATATACTATTTATTATATCAACAATAGTAACCCGCAACACAAAAATTACAGCTACATTGCGGCAACATTGCTGCAATATTGCTGCAAATTTTGTGCTGTATGGGAATAGGACTCTATGATTTAATATCGATATAATGTGAGAAGGCTGTCTAATCCGAGTTTGGATCTAAGTATAGCGAAATAATTTTCGTGTAAATTTTTAGTACTATTTTCAACTGATACTGCGCGCCGATTTTATGTCGGTCGCTTGAAACACACCATGCTTGTATATTGGAATAGTAAATTCACATATTTTAATTAAATTATGGAATTTACTATTCCTACAAATACATATTAAAAATTCACACGAAAATTATTTCGCTACTTACTTAGACCCAAGCTCGGACTAGACAGCCTTCTCACATTATATTTATTATACATTAATAAGTCATTTATTTATTGAAATATATAAATTTATTTAAAACTTATTTTATTGCACATTTTATTACAATGTTAATATATATGAAATCATTACTTTAATCGGTAATCAATTTTACGTCTCTTAGAACAAAAATACACAAGGAAATTACTAGATATCGTGAATATATATAATTTCATTTCAAAAAATTATTAATATATTCATGTTTTTTTTAATTACACACCAGTATTTTCATTTACCATTAAAAATGAATTATTTATTCATTTTCATTTTCACTGTCATTGTTCTCATAAGTTTCATTAACTTTTTTTTCTCGGCGAATACGTCTGACTTTGGCTTGAGCCAACCATTGAGACGCAATTTTTTTTATTTCTATCTCGGTACAATTCGGGCATATACTGGATATCTGCTCCTGAAGATATTTTACATGAGATATTTAGTTGTATATTTCTAGCGAAATTAATGTAAATAATCATTAATAATGATAATAAATAATATATAGACTATTCTTACTTTTCAAAACTTTCGCTATTAAAAGAATTTTAAATTCTTTTTGTTCTTTTTATCATCCCAACTAAATTGTTCTGCAAAACAGTCGTCCAATATTTTTTTAGGATGCCGGTGGTCACCACGTTTACATCACTTCCACCGAATCTTTTTACATAAGTGATCTGTGAAATGTTGAAACATAAAAGATTAATTTGAAGAAACATATAAAATATGAATAAAAATATTAGAAAGTTATCAGAAGTAAAAATGATTGTCAAACATATATCAAGCAGTATTTTTACTAAAAAAATGTAAATTCAAGATATTAAAAATCATGCATTATACATTTAATTAACTATAATGAATTAAAAATTAACTATAATGAATCAATTTTTCCTTTTCATAAACTTCATACAACTGTACAATAAATTTATACGTATAGTTAGACAGACTACAAAAAGATGTACTTTTATTTGTATTCGTGTGTCTCCACGAATGTCCCAGAGGTGGAGACGTTGGCCTTTGAAGCCACATGAAGTTGCTGATTCAAACAATTATTCAATGAATTAAAAATATTATTTGTAATTTGAATTCAATGGCATTGAAATTCATATTGTAAATTATAATAAAAAGCTGTCAAAATGCTACTTACCATTTTTTCCAGAAATGCACGATTTTTCAGCTTCTCTTCAACTTCATCCAATTCAGCCATACTTTTTATTGGTAAAGAAATTTCATCCTCTATTTCATCTAATAAGTCTTTATTTGAAACTTTTCTCATATGTCTTTGTGACTCTATCTGAGTTATTCTAATCTCTAAAATAGTCAATTTTGACAATATAGAGTTAAGTTTTCGCAGCACAGTTTCTTCAAAACCTATCAAGTACAAAAAAAGTTTAATAAATTTCTGTAATTTAAAATCTAATAAATAATTGAACAATTCCAAATTTGTTTCATTACCACTAGATACTTTTTCTCCTTGTTCGGGAATCTCAACGACATTTTGAACTTATAAACTATTTTTGAAGTTGAAGATTGCTGAGGTGCAATTATTTCAGTTGACGTAATTTTCGGCTTATTTCTCACAAGAGAATTGATTTGTGGTGGTTTTTTAATTATTTGTTTTATTGGAAGTTCATCTGAAATAAATTATTTGCAATCAATTATAAAAGAATGAAGCAATTATTAAAAAATGCCATGTTAAAGTTAATTATATTGTAATCTCAAATACAACCTTGAAGCATAGATTTTTTCTTATTTGTTTTGAATTGCTCTGCGTTACTCTCATCGTCACTACTGCTATTAAGAACTTTTTTTTCTTTTGTTGCCTCTTTTTTCTGGCATCGGCAATATTTGTTGAATTTAGATCGGAATCTTCTACATTCGATGTTTCCAATGTCTCAGCAAGCTTATCTAATGCTCTCGTATAATCATCTATATAAATAAAATTCGTGTATTTGCTGAGTATATATTGTGTATATAACATACACAGAATGTCCCATTTTCCCAGGGCTTCGCCCTCCCTCAGCAATCCCGCAAATGATTAAAAAATGAATATTTTACAAGATATTTTGTAATTTACGTCAAAATATTGAAACTTTCAAACCTTAATAATTCAAAAAGTTCTTAATAAAAAAATACTTTATTATAGTGTTTTGGAAAGCTCTCGAGGTTAGCTACAAGAATATGTAATGAAAAATAGGGGTTCCAATTTAAAAAAAACAAGTTGACCTTGAAATGTCCTTGAAGGTCAAGGTCAAGGTCAAATTCAAGGTCACCATCGGATAGCCAGGGAAAAATCCTAAAACTTTTGTATTTACCATTTTTCAAAAAAATTCAATCCAGACGAGTTATCCGAAGGTTTCCATACATTTGACTCACCCTGTATACCCATACAGCACGCATGTCTAAAAGACATCTTTAAGACAGCTTTAAGTCGTCTTTTCGATATATACATATCTAAAAGACGTCTTAAAGACGTATTAAAGATGTCTTTTAAACATGCGTGCTATATGCGTAATATAGATGTAATATACATATATTAATCACTCAGTAAGCAATTTATATATTTCAACTATATTGTAGCTACAACATGGTAATGTTTTGAAACGTTACTGCAATGCAGTTGGAATGTTTTTTATTCCCTGAACAAAGCTTTGAAAGAGAAATTAAAAATAAGGAAAGTAGATAACCTTCGAATTGATACAAGACAAAATAGTAGTGAACTCGAATCTTTATTATTTGATATATTATACAATGAGATCTCACAGTAAAAACGAAATTATATTGGTACAAAAATATATTTGTCTAATATATAGTACCACATATGCGCGCACGACTTAAACGGTAAAAAGTAGAAAATATTGTGCACAACATATATCGTAAACTATGCGGTAATGCGCGATATTTCCTAAGCCTTTCACTGCTTAATTACAGCAGTCTATTAAGAGGACGATCTCGCCATAATAACAGCGAGTGTAGAAATCTGGGGATAAACAAAAAAAGAAGAAACAAGAAGAAAGAGAGAGACAAATATAATATTTTGACACGATATGAAATATATTTGCGCGTAATTAACTAAATATCGCTTAACATGAATTGTTACATTTAGGCTAAATTCGACGGTGTGTCTCGTAGGAAACCTATTTTTAAATAATACCAGCGTACCAGTGCGAACAAACATTAAAGAAAAGAAATCGATGAAAAGAAGAATCTTTACTCGCACAAGAAGAAGAGAAAGGTACAAA